GCCGACCAGAAACGTCAGTCCAGTGAAGGTGTACTCCTTATGGCACAGGGGAACAAAGTGTGGCTATGTCGTGATATAATGCCTACTATCTGATATAAATCCATACAAATATCGACAAAGACGCAAGACGACTACAGAAGACATCATCCTTAGAGCTGTAAAACGTTCCCATAATGATAAGGCAGATTATCGTATTAAACGCACCAGGTTTGTCCGGGGTGGAGGGTTCTCGCCAATGGTGGTCAGTGTCATGGTAGACCAGTACATACAACGGATGTATTTCCTAAGCAGAGACAATTGTATCGTCAACTGGAGTTCCATATCCGAAATGGAATAAGTTTTTTTATTGACTTCTTACTATGTAACGTTATCTTGTTGTAGTTTCGTCTTAGGCCACTTTTCAACACCTCAATGAAAAGCGGCCTGCAGGTGTTTGTTTGAGCTACCAGTATGAATAAACAAAGGTAAAAACAAACTAGCAAACCTGACTCATGGAGTCATATCTTAGACCTACTCCAGATTTGCTATCTGCCCGTTATTATAGATTTGCGGTAAAAGACTGACTCGCCCATTTGCAGATTGTATCACCTTAACAAAGCTAATTGCCGTGAGCAAGCGGAGGTTTGCTACTAACACAATGGTGTAAATAAGTCGCAAAAATGATTTTCATTTATCGCAAGGGAAGGTCGTGTGGCTAGGCTAGCGGACACGAGATGGAGATAATTTTCATACCTGGCTTGGTCGGGTCCTTTGGAAGGGCACTTTATAAGACTTTCCTTACTCCAACCAGGTGTAAAATGGGTACCTGACCTCGGTCGGGGATGTAAAACTCACTGCCCATACGGCCATAAAAGGCAATGGGACTACCTTCGCCTTTACCTTTACAAGGGGAAGGACGAGCGCATTACAAAATAGATGGCTTTAGTACGCTATACTGACGTTTTCCAAGAATCACACTGAGCTGAGAGCTTAATATATAATGTACCTGACAAAAGGCTGCTCCTCCTCGTCTCCAGGATACACCCACTCGTTTGTACCCAGGCCTTCGTACTGAGATCAAACACAAAGAACGGGTCTGGTGCGTTAATTACTAGTACACAAAGGTAACCACAGCCGCGCGGAAATAAGACCATTTAATCATTAGAGGCGAATAAAAAGATACCATCATACTACATGTATAGTCATTGGTCATTGCGGAAATAGCCCCATTTAACAACGTGCGTTTAAGGTAACCAATTGCAATACATGTACCTCCGACAGCATGTAGTACAGACAGGCGATCCAGTGGATAAATGATGCCAGGTACAGGACCAGCACCAGGGCTCTCACGATGTTGGGTCGGCTAGTACGGCTGAATTAGAGGAAAGGGGGGAAGCCAAGACAAAAAACAGTGTATGAAGCATCATTCTGAGAATAATACATGTTTTGTATGGAATATGATAAGCTGGTTTGGATTTCTTATTCTGCTCCTAGGATGTTCTAACGTAGTGTAACGTTACAATACATATAGTTAAAATGCATGCATACCTGTCGGTGAACTGGAAGAAGTCCAGGACCGTCCCCCACTTCAACAGGCGAGGTAGCCTCAGTATGGGGAGGGCGCCGTCACCAACTGTGTAACAACGGTGAAGTTCATGATCACCCGTGTAATCCCTTGGTGATAGGATATGGCTAGCAAATGACTAATTGATAACTAATAAAATGACCAATGTTGTGCATTATGAGCATTACGTATCTATAAAGAAATAACAGAAGACTGCCTTGTTTATGTTTTACAAATCTGTCTAACCATACCTGGTAGGAGTAAGGTCAAAACTTTGACGGGCAGCATGGAGACTACGTCTCGCCGAAACTCCCATTGGCTGCGGTAGTGACGGCTCAAGCTGGCCAGGTCAGTCACCTATATATATACATAGAGGGTAGTAGAACACTGTACAACAAATATTTTATGAAAGTGCAAGATAACAATGTAATAAGGATTTGAAATGATCATACAGATAAATCTTGATTCCCTTCATTGATTTGACTAACTTTGCAACGAGAAAAAAATTGTAGGGCAAGGTCGAAGATTCTAACCAGGATGCCGTCGTCCAGGTAGCCGGTCCGGAAGTGTACAGCGATGTCGGCCAGGTACACCAAGTCCACCACCACGTCTAGCACGTCAAAGTAGGACGACAAATAACTCTGGGGCGGGGAGGCAATAGCGTATAACTCGTGTTTCTATTAGTGTTGTACTTAGTACGCGAGTTCACTTTAATAGGCCCCATGAGAACTCATGTTCACAAAATTAATCCAGATTAATCCTACTTGGTTACTTGGTGAACAACAAGGAAAATTTACTTACTGAGCAAAATCGTTACTCTGAAAAATCGAGAAAAATAGGACAGACTATCATCACATCTTTTTTTTACACCCTGCTTAGTAAACTCCACTGGATCTAAAGTTAGCAGTATCAAAATGAACAATGGTCGCAAGCCTAGGAGAGATTTAAAAAATCGTACTGACGACCGTACCGTCTGATTTGATTTGATTTATTGAGATGCCCTTTAGCCCCATGAGGGGCTAATCTTCCAGGGCTCATTAACAGTACAACACATAAAATACAAGCACTGAATACATACAATCATTGCAATTACACATTAAAATAATTGAGGTTGAGGCCAGAGGTCATTTAACTAATTATGACTAAAATCAACAATAAAAACTTGTGAGTTACTAAATTGCTTCGAATATATACAATATTGTCAGGGTAAGCCTTTAAGTTCCATAAAGCTGACGTGTCATTTTCCTGAACTGCCTCTCATCAGCTGCTAATACAGTAGTCTTAACTTCACTCGGTAATGCGTTCCACAACTTTACAGATCTGTAAACAAACATCCTCTTTCCACTATTGTTGTTAGGTTTGAGCAATGAGTAGTCGTGCACTGATTGCCTAGTGGAATACCTGTGAGACGCATGAACCGGTACCAGAGATTTATAGATCTCCTGTGGCTCACTTGTGGTTACAATCTTGAAAAATAACTTAAGAGTACTGACATCAAATCTATTTCTCACCGATAACCAACCAAGATCAGAGTGCATTTTGACAACTGGTGTATCGAACGAACATTTCAGAGCCAGCCGTCTGGACTGATAATCTCACCTTCGATCTCATCTGCTGAAATGCTGTTCTCAGGATGATGACCCAGGTGTTATACAGGACACAGCAGGAGACAACTCCCTGCAACAAACATGGTATTACTGTGGATCCTGGGATAAGGGGATGCATTGGTAGAAATCCGCGGCGCGATTTATCATATTGATTGGAGAGATTGTGGTCTGTGATATGTAAGAAGATTGTTGTGTTCAACCAGATGTCAAATCGGGTTATATCATGGCTGCTCTGGCCTCGTAAAAGATTGACGTTTCCTGGCGCGCTGGCAACAAACAATCTTTTCAACCATATCTGCATTGTATAAAAGCGCTTAAACCAATGTCCGTTCACGAATTGTATTTTTTCCAAATTTTTATAGTCCGCATGTCAAACTGCATTTGCTATCGCTATGGTTAGCTATTCGCTGTTGTGCCTATCATCGTATCTTATCGTTTTGATTAAAAATAGTAAAACCCTCTACCATCCAAATGTAGGCACTCTCTCCCTCCGGATCCAGGACTCCGTCTAAGTCATTATCCTGTGAACATAACCAGATAAACGGAAAGGTTGAGCTAGGTCATGGAAATATGTAATTATGTAATAAACGATATCCACGGGCTTTATACCAATGTCTGCATATATCATGTTCCGGGACTGTTCAGCACTATCATTACAAGCTGGGATATAATCACACCATGCGATACACGCCTAAGACAAGAGAACTTCTACCTGTGGGAGGAGCAAATCGTATCGCGATCAAACATAGACAGTTCAGCCTACCATAGGAACCCCCATCCCCTCCCTGCCCGGCCACACCTGGTGCTCTGCCTCCCCGTCACTGTCCCCGCTCGTGTCGGACTCCCCGTCCTCCCCCAGCGCGTCCAGCCGCAGACTCCCCCGCCTCATCGGGGTCGACTCGTCAGCACTACAGCCGCGACAACAGCAAATGTCAAACAAAACAGTCTCAGGAGTTCACATGCTGCATCAAACTATAGGCTACTCTTGTTTAATCGCCCTATTTAGTCTGTTCAACTTCCTGACTGTTCCTGTCTCCTATACAACAAATGTACACAAAGCATGCAAAATGTACTTTACATAATTGAGATCAGGTATGCACAGTGTAGAAGGGTTGATACAGGTCACCGTGTGCAGACTCTCTTTGCCATATTCATTTCACTACGTGAGGCTATCGCGCCTCAACCTATACTTTCACCCGCAAAATACGTTTCATATAAGAGTTTTCTTGATGCCTCAGAGGCCACATGTAATTTGTTCTGCTGACAACTATCTTGTAGGCGCTACTGACATGCAGAAGTGTATATTCATAACTCACCTGTCTGGATGCATCGTGTTACGTCTGTCCTCTCCAACAGGCCATGAGAGGACGACGGGAAATGTCTGGTCGACTTTCGATACAACTACAGCACACTGTTGAATGAGCTGATAGTGTCAACCTAGCTGCGCTCTATGATTCAATCGCACCGCTTTTGCCAGTAAACGCCCTGTCAGCTTCAATGGCGTAATTGGGCGTCGCCTTATAACATTACCTGGTAGTAAGCTGGTACTAATCAGCTTTTACCCAGCAATATTCCTAACGGTGAAGAGAGGATGGCTTGTCTCTATCCCCAAGTCAAGATGTACCGCGACGTCAAACACAACATATCAGTGCACATCCTGTGCCACCTTGGTACCAGTACCACACGGATTGACGGGTCCGATATTTCACAGTAAGTGTGGTTCAATCTGAATACGCATGTCTGTGGACATCGACAGCTTACACATACCTATTTGGAGGAAGCATCAGTCAGTCTCTTCCCTTCACCGGTAGTGTTTTCTTTTCATCTCACGACCGGTAGTCCTTTCTTCTTATCTCCGGATGGAATCCGGCCATCAATGCAGCCAATTTCCAGCGCTCACACAATCGGGATAAAATGCGTCTAATAAAGAACATGTTTCCACGGACACGCCAGAGGTTTGCCATTCTGAAGGTTACTCATCAGTAAGGCATCCACTGTCGTCTGCGACAGCTCTTTTGGAAACAATATAGGGTGAATGGTCGCTTTGGCGACCTTCATGCCATTTACAACAGTATGAATGCAACATAATAACATGTATCCAATTAACGACTTAATATATTGACTACACGAAGCTAAACGTTCAGTCAATAAAATATTTTTGATTCTGAAACGCCTGGGCACACGCAACAGAAAGAATAACAACCTCGTCGATCATACCAACGGTTGACAGCCTGTTTTCTGTTTGTACAATAAAGTAACTTGTACGTCAGGAAGTTGGGAGGCAAGATTCCCGGGATGTCATGACGTGCGGTGATGAATGGTCGTCATTAGTTTGACGCTCATGTCAAGACAAATGTATGTTGGATTACGCACTACGTGTCCTTTAGTGACGACGGGAGATGCCGTAAGCCAGAGAGACCGCTGAGGTGTTTGTTTCTGTTGCCAGGTTGGCAGGGCTGCCCGGTAGGACCGAATTTATGATACACAACGAAAAAGCACGGTAAGATGCTGTGCCTGAAACGTGAATTCTAAAACGTCCTTACTCCGACACAACGCCATTATTGCTCGCGACGGTACCTGTCCTTGGTGCTGAAGAGTGACTACAAGACATGCCTTTTAATAACAATGTGTTTCTAAATTAGCAATGACATGGAGATATTATTTATGATGCACTCAACTTGATGATTCGGCAAATTATCTCGGTAAAGTATTATCTTACGTTTCACGTGGTCTGTTTTTAGCTAAAGCTCATGTTTCATGACAACGCGCCGACCGTAAACAATTCCCCCGTTACCAAGAGTCGGGCTCTGACCTCAGTCTGACGTACAATCAGTAATCTAATTTATACTGGGTTTAACTTTAATAAAGCCTGTGGTTGTTACGGTGGTAAATCTCACGCTTATCAACGCAGCTGCGACCTGAGTGGTCTCCAGTCGGGAAAGGTATCAAATTAAGCTGACTTTAATATCATTGGAAAGGCTGCCGCTAATTTTGGCCACGTAGAATTGCTAGGCCTTTTGCTTTTATGCTGTACCAATATTGCGCCAAATGGGTTGTTTGGTGACCTTACCGTGTTATCGACTGTACTGTAGTGCAGTTAATAGAGTGCAGTATCACCACAAGCGTTACCCCAAGCATTCGGCCCCTTCGTCATCTATTACGTCATTACTCGCACACGTCAGTGCCCGTACCACGTCTACAGCTAAAAGCACAACATCTTCAAGACAAAATAATTGACCCAAATGGTGGCTGCAAAACCATTTCACACTCTTTTGATGTATTTTGTCATGTTAAAATGTAATCTTTGAGTACCTTTAGGTGAGTTATATTTGCTCTGAACGATGAGCAGCGTTATAGAAAACCTGGTTGTCCGATTTTCGGAGATGCACTTAAAACTGAGGAGGGGTGATTCTGAAGCAAATAGAGGAAAGAAGGGGATGTCCATGTATGTTTTCAGATTTAAACACAACTGACTCGTGATGACAGAAGTAAACCACGTGGCCCTTTTAATAAAATAATAGCAGGATGTCATGATACATACACATAGTTTTTACATACCAGTTACTGGCAGAAAGGAGCGAGACTTGGTACGGACTGCCCTATTGTAAAACCGGTGTGGTCAGACCGTCATTAGAATTACAAACGTCACAAAGCTCAATTACTTTTTGTAGCTAGTGTTAAGAGACGACAGGATTTTGTACGTACTTTTGTCTAAACAATACAATACAATACAACACGATTTGATAACAAAAGAATAGTACTTGTGGATGAATATCTGTACAGAACATATCCTGGCCATGTATTCCTTTGTGTGACATATTTGCCACTTGCACTGTAACAAGCTGGTGGTATACTGTAACAACGTAACGCTCCAGGCGTTAAAGGTACGGACTTATGTAAGTAACTGTTCAAAGGACGATTGATTAAGAAACGAAAAATAGATTCTGGCCAAATGGACACATCAAGATCAAACATGGGCAGTTATCTCTTTATCGCCCATCGAAGTCGCTTCCCTCGGTGGTGTTACAATCTGTCGCACTTCCTGAAAGTTCAGCCGTGGTGGAGTCTACTCGCAGCCTCCCCGCCTCACTCGTCTCAGAAACACAGCAGCCCTCTGACGTCTCCGAACTTGGCATCTCCACATTCACAGAAACTGGGGCCTCCTTCTCCACCCCGTTCACACAGATAGCGGGCATCTCTAACCTTCTTCTCCGCCGGGAGCGTCTCCTTCGCCGCGGACTCCCAGGGGACGACGCGCTGCTTCTCCGTCTCCTCCGCTCATGCGTATACGGGGAAGGGACGGCTAACGTAGGGTTGTGGTGCTCGGGGTCCGAAGCGTCACTCTGCAGTGGACTCGTGAGCTCCCCATTTAGTTGAGGCATGGATGACAGTAAACCAGCAGAGTCCAGAAGACTTTCCAGGACAGACACCCGCCGTAACGCCCGGGTCAGCTCTGTCTGTCGTCTGCTCAGCTGCCGCTGTAGGTCGTCACACTAGACAAAAATACTTCGTCTGAGCGAAGGACATGCTCTTTTAGAAACAATTTAACCGAATGATTACTGAAGAAAATGTTTTCAAGGAGCGGTAGCATTTGTAAGAAATTAAAGGGCTAGAGGTGTGTGGAAACAACCAGAATGGAATTGATCGGGGATTGATCTAAAGTTGATTTTATTGTAAATAGAAACAAAACACAATCTTATTGGTCGAAGGACAACTTTGGAACCATAACACAAAGGCAGCTTGGGAACAATTAAAGAGAGCGCCAGCATGAAAAAGGATACCATTGGATAGGAAAGTTCTATAACGAAAGTTACCATCACGCTGCAACACTACTGTTACCTTTTCGGACAGACCTCGAACCCTTTCTCGTGTAACCTGTGCGTGGGTACAAAACGAAAAAAAAATAATGATGAAAGAAGACAAATGTTGAAATTTCCATCATAGCATTAGTAGTATGTGCCCTCGTTTCACTTAATGCCCCCACATTCAGTCCCCCCCCCAAAAAAAATAAACTCAACTAAAACTACATGTATTAGATTCGCTATATATTGACATACCTGACTGTCAAAAGTACGTAATTCCTCTATGATACTTCTCAGCTCGGACAGTTCCTTGCCCGGACTGCCGCTCGTGCTCCCCCCTCTGTGGGCTTTCTTGTTCATACCCTGGGACGCTTCGAAGCCGTCCGCATCCGTCGCACCTCTGCACCAACATGAGTCAAGTACGTTATAATCACTCAACTCCACAGTCACCAAGCGGCAGAGACAACGTGCTGCTCAGAGAATACCGTCATTATTCCACGAATGCCTTCTTTTCACACGTGAAAACGTGTTATAACCAATATAAACTTCGTAAATACTATACATATATAAACCCGGGGGTGGGAAATCTTAGATTTCTTCTTTTTGGATGAGATAATCAGATTAAATAGCACGTCTTCCGAATTCCCAGTCTTTCTGGGCTTATATCATCAAAATGTGCATGGTATGTTAGGTACTACTTACTTACATCGAGGACCAACAAATCGACACTGGTCTTTAAAGAAACATCATAAGAGCAAATACAGGTTTTGTACATGAGGGGACTGGCCCAGGTTATAGAGAAGGCGTACCTTGCTTCCTTATTTTGTCCAAG